ACGACGCCAAATCGCGTTTGTTCACAACAATGGCGTCGATGACGGTGTACTCTCGTTTGATTACTATCGCGAAAATACGCAGATGGTGATCCGTGTCAAGGTCACGAGCGTATCTTTCGAACGCTTCGATTCTAACAACGCGCTTCTTTTCGGCGTTATACGCGCTGTTGATTGTGCGGGAATGAACCGCGATATATTATCTACTTTAGCTGGACAGAGAAATGCGATAACACGGTTATGTCACACGAAACAGAAATTATCGCAGAGAATGTTGATGATATTCGAGACAGGATGCGATAAAAAAGTAGAGAAAAAAAGTTCAGCGGATTTTAACGATGCTTTAACGATTTTAACTTTTTTCTCTTAAAGCGAGCTGCGGAACGAGTTAACAGTCGATCACGATGGAAACGCGAAGGTAGAGACGCGAAGGTAATACAGTTCTTTACAGTGTGCTCGGTATATATTTGTAGCTAGCGCCAGCTGGCACAACCCGCATGAACCACCTCCTCCTCCGATACTCGTGTTCTTGTGTGTCGAAAGTATCGATGTTAAGTTGTCCTGAAATCGCTTCTTGCAGCAACTGTACAACTTGTTCGCACGAGTTGGCACACGCAATGTAAATTTCGCTCTCGTGACACTTCGGTGGAGTGAGGGATCGTTTATTATCGTCGATGCATAATTTCTTATCGTACCTTATCGTGCTTTAGGTGCCGAGATTGCGAATCCTCGGCACCCGAAGCCGGTAAAGATCGATACTATAAATAGACAGCCCGCGTATCCGCGAGACAGTCTGTAATTGACGTTTGCACTTGTATCTCGCACTTATATTTGTCTCGCACTTGTATTTGTCTCGCTTGTGCACGCTGTATTTTTACATTGTTATGTGGAAATTGTTCTTTTTATGAGTTGTTTAACTGATTGCGATAACGATGCGGTTTAGCTGATACTACCAGCGCGTGTGTCATTCGACGTGGCATTGTAAAGTTTATTATTGGACGTACTGTTTGACGTATGAATTTATTTTCAAGTGCATAGAAATTCTCTTGTTTGTCCAGTTATTCCTCAGCTTTCAAATAGGCTAGCATAATTAAAATAAAAGAAATAAATATTTAATTTGCGCAATAATATAATCGCCTTTGACTTCTTAATATCTAGTTAACTTTATTATGTTTGCTATTAACTTCATATTTTCTTCCAATTTAATCGTAAATCCGAGAACTCTGTTTAATTAAACTAAAATATTTTCTCAGAAATAAATGAGAGGAAATTGTTGAGTTTCTGAAACTTCTCATGATTACTATTTGATCTAGGTGACGTTATACTTCGACCAATAAAGTTTTACTACGTGAACTTTATCGCGGTCGCACCAAGTTTATCTTACTCTATCCCCTTTTGCAAATAGACAAATGTCGTTTATCAACCGTCTTAATCGTACTGAGTAAAAAAAATCGTATAATTTAATCGCGGTGTCTTACGTTATCAGTTAGCTTCTAAATTCCGGTCTCGTTGAACACGAGGTAACTGCAAGCCGATATGCGCACGAACACTGACAATACACACACTATATGAAATTATAAATATTCCACCGTCTTTTAAACACAATACTTTTCAAATACCAACAGTACAGCGACAATAGTAGTATTATCATGCGCGTTCACACGTCTAATTGACATTCGTCGCAAACTACTCCGTCATATAAACAGCCACTGAATAAAAACATGTAACACGTCAAGCCAGCAGATGGTGTTATCGTCTGCATTTTCATTAAACCTGAAAATATCAGTACAATTAACCAATCAAGTGTCAAGTAGTGGGCGCGCGAACGCTCCTCGTCGCAAAAGACTGGGTTATCGCGGAGGTTTCCGTTTATCACGGGGGAATTTTTATTTTCCTCTCTTATCAGACGATGCACCGTTTGTTGAAGGATGAAACGGTGCACCGTTCAGTATAGTGACATCAAGTATATAGTGATGCTACGTGGTAGAAGTATTCTTTTCAAAGCGGCAATGCGCACAAAAAACTTCCTTATCCATCCCGCTGTCAGGTATAGTAACTAATGATGAGCTCATAGTCCATTCATGTATAATGGGTTTTGCGACATGTTTTTATTTTTCGACGTATATCTTGGAGTCGCGAAAATGGTGAGTACGTATATTCGCATGATTTTCATCTGCTCCAAAACTCATCGAAATAAACAAGTGTAGCAATCTTCTCGCCGTTGACTAGACTAAGTCTTCAGTCTTTTTTATCCCAGAATTACGTCAGACTGATAAACTCAAAGTATAAACTGACCGAGTCACTTATTGGAGCGATGTTAATGAGTTAGGGACTTGGGATTTTACGCAATATCTGTTTCACAACGTAATCTTCACATAACTTGATTTAAATTTATCGCGGGATATTTCGACGGTGCTGTTTTACTTAATGTAAAATTTATTAGATGCTTGAGAGCATTCTAGCTAAATAATGACATTATATGTAATGTCGTGTATAAAACAATTCGTGTTCATAAAAACATGAAACAGACCGCAATCTTAAAACAATATTGTAACAGTATTAAATATAAATAACGAAATTATGAAGAAATCCTACTCATTGTTTACTCATTGTTACTCATTGTTTACTCATTGTTACTCATTGTAAAATTCTTTTGATAAATTAGTACGAAATGCGGTCGCAAATTTACAATGGATGACTAAATTGCACAAATAAATTAATATTAATTAATATGGTACAACTATATTAAATTATTACATAAATATCATGAGAAGTAGAGAAAGTTTTTCACAAATTGACAGAAAAATCTTATTTTCCCGCTACTCTTTTTCTTATGTTTTCCTAGTGCTTGTCACTTCAAAGTGAGCTCATAAATTGAACAAAAAAAATTGCGAAAAAAAAGAAAAGATAACTGCACTGCCCGGGAATCGAACCCGGGTCGCAAGAATGGGAATCTTGCATGATACCACTACACCAGCAGTGCTGTTGATATTCCGACGTTTACCTCGACGGATATGAAGCAGTCATATCAAAAACTGAAATCGATCAATAAAAGCGTATTCCACGCGTATTAATTTTAATGTTATTATGCAAACTCCACACTTAATCTATAAAGGATCAAAGTACACAATTGAAAAATGTTTAACACAGTGTCATGGCAATCGATCGATAAAATTGCTTCATTTTTACATATAATAATAATTTTTACATATAATAATGACTCTATAATTACAATATGGAAAAAAAATATGAATTATGTTTATAAAGCGGATGCGTATTTCGAAATTATTTTTACAAAAGTATAAAGCCGCAAAATAATAAAAAATAAAGTCTGTGCGATGGCCGGGAATCGAACCCGGATCAACTGCTTGGAAGGCAACTATGCTGACCATTACACCACCATCGCACTTGGTATCGTGGATACTTATGGAGCAGGTGTGTGCTGTTTTTGACATGATTTTAGGTTACAATATTCTTATTTAAAAAAAGTTTATACAATTTCATTATTCATTGTTTACTTTGAAAGTCAGCTGTTAATTATGCATCGATAGATCACTTGCGTAAGACAGTTTATATTTGCACAATTGCTGTGTCACTTGCATAAAAAGACTTTATTTTCAGATAATGTTGAATATTGATAATGTTTATCCTTGACATTAAAAATACACGTGGAGTATTTTGTCAGAGAGAAAATCACTCGAATGAAGAAATTCATGAATTTTATTTTAGAAAAAAATTAATAATTGGATCTTGCCTGAAAATTAAAGGCAAAACAAGCGGGAATATTGATTCTGACAGTGCCTGTTGAACATAAGTTATAAACAAGACATAGTCTGTATTGTATTGCTCGAAGGCCATTATCGACGTCGAGACCTACATGTGTACATACATGTATTGCTACGAATTGTTTTGATCGTTGCATGACCGAAATGAGTTGTAGAAATTGTGCCGCAATTCACGAATTATGACAAGTAAAAGAAACGTGTCACGTTTCTGACGATTATTTGCGGAATTTTGCATTATCGTCTTCAAATATATCCTTCAATTAATCGTTTAATGTCTGCAAATATTTGCCATTGAAACTGTAGCGATTGCAGTCTCATGTGTTTACTCGAAAATATTCTCGAAAGAATTTTACGTGAAACACTAAAAATGGAAATAGCGCAAGCGAAAGTAAGAACAATGAGTTCTGCTTATCATGTGATGTAAACTATCCTTTTGGTTACGACTATATACGAAATCATACATTATTCAAGGCATGTCAACACGTTCTATCACGGATACGTAAGACAGACAATGTTTTGATAAAGGAGAAAATAGGCGATTACGAAAACGAAACACGACCAAAAAGTGTCACACCTTCACCTTCACACAGAAAAAATAGAAAACAAGGGTAAAAAAATGGGCCGTACCGGTTTGTAGAAAACATTATTAAGCAACTTGATGAGTCGTAATTTGTCGTCGGACGAGCACGAATTAATAGTGTGTTCGCCTTAGGGCTATTGTCGCTTTCACCGACCGGAAGTGGATGGCATCATTCGAGGCAGGGACTTCCGGCAACTACCGCAGTAAGTTTCGTACTAGACGGAGCCTTTGTCTCGTCGAGAATGAATAACTTTGCTGGAGCGATTCATTAGAGCGTAAAAAAGCGAAGTCGGTGAGACAAAGATCTTCACGAGACAAAGATTTGAAGAAAACTTTAATAACGTAGTAATTATGATATATCAAGATGTTACAGATATATCGTAAGTAGATATGAAAAAAGGAACATAAAGAGACAACATAGGAAACTGAAGAATAGGAAAAAGTGGATGACAGCAACGCATTGTCCTCATCTATCGATTCGAAGCTCCTCCACTTACAACACATCGCGAATCGCTCGAACTCTCGACCCTTTCGCGAGGTTCTTCGGTATCACGAGCGTGACGATAACGGGGGCATACAGGGTGGGGAGGGAGACGCGGGTTAGAAAGCCCTAACCGCCTCTCGGTTGGTTGCAGCCGGTAAAATCGTTCCTCAGTGAACGTTGAGTGGTCGTCGATCGCGGTTGCAGCTCGCCGTATGTGCCAACTTCGGGACCTCGTTTCATTCGATTAACGAATACAGAACCGAGTTAGCCTACTTCTCTCACTGCAGTATGATCTCTCCGTGTACAAAGCCCGCTGGAGGAGAATCAATTCCAAAATCAGACCTGTGTGAACGCGTGACACACTTTGGAGCACCGAGATAAAATCGCGTGAGATGTACCGGCGATGAGATTTTAACTTTCCTCGTGATCGGACAGAATGACATCGGCAGCGCATGGTGCGTCATCTCGACGACTATTGGAATATGTATGAAAGAAACGTTACTCTTTTATCGGAAAAATAAAAGAAAAGCAAACCGGCCTTCGCACTTCTACTAAAATGTATGCGACTGAGTTATTGCGAAATTATGCTTATAATATTCGTCATTGCACACCACATTAGCTTGTTTAAACAGGCTTGCGTAATGGTCGTGGCGTAAACATTGCGAGCTGAGAAAAGTTTCGTGAATTTCGACGCTAACCAAGTAAATAGAAGCGAACGCGACGAGACCATCGGGATATGATATTATCGGCCGCCTCTCATTCATCGACAAGAGTGAAATTCCCCACTTACGCGGAAAGTAGGTCGCAAGCGCGTGTTAATATGAAAGAAGAATAAAGTTTGCCCGCTCCACCTTCCAAAAGCTTTCTATTGGCGTCTTTTCAATAAGATCATAGTTCAAGGTTGCTGAAAGGCCCGAATTTAACTCCAGCTGATAATTATTAAAATCCATGATCGATTGTGAGAAGTGAGGAGGAGTTCCACCTCCTAGAATCGCGGATACTTACGACCTTGGATACATCGTCGCACTTTCGTGTAAGGAGTGAAGTGAGCGCATTATCATCGTCGGTGTTACCAGGAATTATGTTATAGTTAGTCGTACAGGTATGCTACTCGCGCTCAGTCGCGCTTATGAATCGCAAGAGCGACCATCGCGAAAGGAGGTCTTCGGATGTCATGAGCGATTATTGTTGCGAAAGAAAGAAAGCGCATAGTTTGTTCGCGCTGTATACTCGAAAGTAGCGCGGGGGAAACACGTGCTGAGGTCGCAGCAGCTGATTGAGGTGACGTGCACAACTAAAACCAATAGACGCGACTGTCTGGGCAGCGCAACTCGTTCGAACTCTCGCAAAAAGTCTCAGTCGAAGATGCTGGTTTATGCAAAGCAGTTCGTGATGCAAATGACGCGCAAAGGCGAAAGCGTTCACCCGTAACTGTGAACGCGCAATCTCGCACAAGTGAACTCGGACCATAAGAGAATTGTCACGGCTTTATCTAATCTAATCGCGGGGAATCAGACGCGACGAGATTGAGAGAGAAATGCTCTCTGGCTGATGGACATGGTGAAGGAAAAGCCGCGCAGTCGAAGTGTGAGCGATTTGCTCGATTGGAGATGTGTAGCCGGATGCAAGGACACCGTCGCCGTGATAGACACCAGCGATGGGGAAGGACACTTCCTGGAAGAGCGTGACAGAGAGCCAGAAACACGCAGACGGAAACGATCCGGTACATGGCCGTGAGTAAAAATGATCAAAATCTTTCAGAGAGTGAGCGAGTAAAAGTCGTAAATGCGATTTTGGGAAATATCCAATATCTAATAATATCATAAATTCTAATAATATCATAAAAACGCCGGGTATCCTTTCGCGAAGAGAAATACGAGCAAAGTTTCACGAAGTAGCGATTCTCGAGTAGCGAGAAAGTAGAGTTCTACATTAAAATTATAATTCGATTGGAATTCGGTGGCAACTCGAAAGCACGTTTGGTCCCTCTTCTCTTTTTCTTGCTTCATGTTTCTTGAAAAGAATGTTACATCGCGCTCTTCACACTTGGCTGCAAACAAAACCCGAGAATTATTAACAATTTTCAGGCGTGTTTACAAAATAAATTGGCACTGTTTTAACATCCCGTTGTGTGTCGTACAGCCGGTATACACGGTAATTTATATCGCCGCCGCTCTTCGTTCGCGTGAAAGTAACGGGTATCTTCCCAATTAGTTAATTGTTTCTCAAGGCTTTAATATATTACTTCAGCGCAACACTGAACACGCAATGTAACACAATCCTCCTCAACGTCCGGTATGGTCTAGTGGCTAGGATACCTGGCTCTCACCCAGGAGGCTCGGGTTCGATTCCCGGTACCGGAATCTATCTTTTGTCCCGCAGGATCGTGTTTAATTTTAGCTTCGTTCATATAGACCGACGCCTCAGCATCTCAAATATACTCGACGTTTTCAGCGTCCGGTATGGTCTAGTGGCTAGGATACCTGGCTCTCACCCAGGAGGCTCGGGTTCGATTCCCGGTACCGGAATTTATCTTTTGTTATGCAGGGCAAAACTTTTTTTTTGTTCTATTCACAGTTGCAGCGTGTTGCTTGGAAATCTCACCAATATTAATATTATTCATTTCGTATGGTCTAGAGATTTATATTAGAATAGAAATGACTGCAACCTGAAAAGTTCCGATTCTAATCCCAATATTGAAATCTTTCATATCCGGATTATGGCTTATTTTAGTCCCATTCATAGTCGTCCGTTGCCTCGAAAACTCGCAAGAATTCACGTTCATTGTTCAGTACTGTTTACTGATTAGGATCCATTCAGAAGGCATGAATTTATTTTCCAACATTGAAAGCGTATCTTTTGTGTTGTGAGGTAGTCTTGTAGGATATTTTAGTTTTCGTTCCATTCCTGATCTTTTGTCACCGAAATTTCACAAAAGAGCACTCATTATTCAGCACGGTTTGTATACGTGGCTGTCATTCAGCAAGACTGAATTCGGGTCCTAATACCGAAGTGAAGAGGAACAACAGCATTACGCACTAAACCGTACACGACACTGCGGAAAACTATAGTATCTTTTCACGCGAATTATTTTCTTACATGCGAACACGATTATTATATTTTAGTGACAATTAAACGGATTGAACTGTTGATGCCACGTCTTAATAAATTCGATCAGTTCTCAAGTGAAAGTCCTTGACGTAAAGCAATTAGATTGCATTCGATATTTTCGAATGGTGTGCTTAAGTTGTATAATTGTTTCATTGAGAAAATTAATAAAAAATCAAAATTATTTTAATAATTTTCACACTTCTCTATATTTTTGATCATAATGAAAAATTACGCTAATTTTATTTTTTCTCACGCGTTACATCTTTTTCCTCGCAAGATATGCCTTGATTTGGACTCTACTCGAGGCCCATCGCACGAGAATCTCATAAGATACCGAAGTACTCGAGCTCCGGTATGGTCTAGTGGCTAGGATACCTGGCTTTCACCCAGGAGGCTCGGGTTCGATTCCCGGTACCGGAATATATCTTTTGCCTTGTGGAACGAGGGTTCCATTTTGCCTCGCTTGCGTGCCCAATTGGTCAGCATCACGTACAAAACAGGGATATTCGACGTCCGGTATGGTCTAGTGGCTAGGATACCTGGCTCTCACCCAGGAGGCTCGGGTTCGATTCCCGGTACCGGAAGGTTTTTTTTTGTTCTTAATTACTTTGAAAATTAAGTTTTTTTTTATCAGTATGCAGTACTCGTTTGCTCACACTGAAAATATAGGTTGTGCTCGATAAGTGACAAGTGACACAATAGTGTCTCGATATGTTGCTAAAAATATACCGTCGTATTAATTAGCCCACATCCGACGTTATTTCGTCGATTATTACAAAATCGCGCCGGCCACAGAGACTCGAGTGAGCAACTTCGCTGACAAGAAACCTGGCTGATCAATTTCGTAATTAAACTGGAATCACCATGTAATCTGATTCAGCTTGTGCGAAATGTGAGACCCGGCGCACGTTTACTTGCTCAACACTTGTTTTGCCACAACGTCGTCGGCTTCACTGAAGATTAGAAGTTCTGCCACATTAGGACCATAAAATCAAATAGCACAAATCCTGTCTTCGACTTAACGCTCCATTTAACTTCAATATTGCAAATGTTCAACTACGTTTTCAGATAAAATTGGACGTGTAACAAATTATTGGAAATGGAAAATTAAATACTAAATGTAACAAAAGAGTCAGCTAACAATGTAATCTCAAGATGTTCAAAATTTGCTTCTGAGGGGAAGAATCAATCGATATTTTCATCCATAACTATAATCGGACGCTTTGCGTCTCTCAATTTAACTTCCCTGACCGAATCGAACTTTTGCCATCAATCAAAAAGGCGATGAACGTTGCAAGAAAAAAATTCAATAGGAATAACGTTCGAACAAATTGGTTGCGTGACGGAATTGATTAGTGACCGGCGGTCGCGCCTGCGTGCGTCGCATTGGGCGTCGCGACGCCGGCGTTCTCGACTACGAGACTACGGCAATACCCTGGTCGTTTCTCGCGGTACGTCAGTGCCGAAGCGTGCCTTAATCACCGCTGGTCCACGTCGCCTCAATTACTCGCGAACATTGTTTTTATTTTTCCCTCTGCTTCACGAGGAAGGAAGGATCGAAGGTGTGCGAACGTGCGCTGGTCATCATCAGCGCACATGGACGAGGCTGAACTAAGGTATCGTTGCGAACAGAGAGAGAGAGAGAGAGAGAGAGAGAGAGAGAGAGAGAGAGAGA